AAAAAAAAAAAAAAAAAAAAAAACTACTGAAAAGATTTCTACTTTAGGTAGAGAGCAGGACCAAATCAGTGACCTCAAATCTGGCTCTACATTAGTTAGAATCAATTGGAAGACTGTGAAACATTACTGATTTTTAAGGCCTCATCCCAATTGAATCATCATCTCTGGGAGTGGAGCCTGGAGAATCCATATCAAGAATCTAAATCTTGTAATCCCCTCAGATGATTCTGGTGACTCACCAGGTTTGGGGATCACTGAACTAGATTACTTCAAAGTTGTCTTCTAACTCCCTCATTTAATGAGTCTTAGAAGATTATAGAATATTTTCTTTACCACATAAATGAGAAAGATTTGTAGTCTGTAAAATGAATTTGGTCTAAATGGACATAGGTAGCTCTAAAATGCCAGCAGACCTCCTGAGTTGTTAAACAGGTTAAAATTCTTCTTGCAATTTAGTTAATGAAAACTTTTTTCATGTATCATGGAAAGGTAAACTTTATCTGGCCTGTTTCCCAATAATTAAAGTTCCAAATCACTGAAATATAAATAAATGAGACTTTACTGTACTTATAGCACCAGTATGATGAAAAATTTGTTTACACCAGGAGGTTTTAGGTCATCCTTCAATCATTCATCCCCGTAACCAAACTACATATGCGCGTGAGCACATGCGTATACACACACACACACACACACACACACACACACACACACACAAATATGACACATGGTAAATGTTGGGCAATTACTGAGATGGAACAAAGGGGACCTTCAAATTCCATCGCCTTTTTAACCTTATATTTTTCTATGCAAGAATCTAGGAGCCCAAATCAAAGGCATCGAAATAATATTATTAATCATGACATACTAAGCTCTTTGTCTCTAATTCCATGTCTTTTAAACACATTAGTTTGATCTAGGTGGTGTCAAGTTGAAGAGTAAAAAGGAGTACATGTATTTTAAAAATATTAACAAATTTGAAGAGAACATATTAATTTTGGCTAAATTGGTTCCCTATATAAAGGGCTTCTAACAGGTATACAGGTAGCCATATGAAGGAACTCTAATCACTGCAAAAGGGCTACATTTGTAGATTTTGCTAATCTAAAATGAAACCTGTAAGGCTCTGTTGGAATTATTTAGAAAAGAGTAATTGAAACCCCCTTCAGCAAGTTAATTCAGATTCTCCTAATTTTACTTTTCTGGTTCACAAGGTATCTTTTTTATCATGGTGTTTTCAAATTGAAGTTCACACACATCAAATAAATAGCATGATAATCAGAGGTTTCAATATCCGATACACATGCATTATTATCTGTCATTATTGTCATTGTCACTATTATAATTGCACATTGTAAAAAGAATGGAAGCTTTTCCACAGGAATTATTCACGTGTATTACTTTCTAGGAGTAATTGAATAGTTGACATTGCATTTAAATCAAAGTAAAATATGTGATGGTTTGTCTCATTTGTTTTATTCTTATGAAATAAGAAATGTAGAGTGATCTCTATTAGGGTCCTTTATTTGAATCCAGAAAGGTTCAGTTTTATGTACTGTCCAAATGTATATTTTCTTATAACAAGGCTCAAAAGATATCCAATGTAATTAAAGTGATAATTTTCTAAAAACACATAAGATAACAGCTGGGTAGTGAAGTCCTCTTCATTAGCTTGTATTTATATACATGAACTCAACAAGAATCTCAGAGAAAAATATTATTTTTCTTTTTTAACTATTTAATCGGGCTTGGTATGTTGAAATGAAGCCCACGTTGTGTTGCCAATATCTACAGATCAATAATCACTTACCTTAGAGTTTACATAGAACTTTTCACTTCATTTTGGATAATCTTCATGGCAATCCCTTCAAGAGGCAAGTCAGATACTATTCATCTATTATGAGAAATCAGAGGCTCCAAAAAGCCAAGTAATTTATACAAAGTTACTCTGTCGAATGGCAAAATTAGCCCTAGAATCCAGGTCATCTGGGTCTTAGTCAGAAGTTATGGTAAAATAAAAATAAAAAAAAAAACAAATTTGAATTGTAAAAAGATCACAGGCGTGGTAGCATATGAAGGCCTAGGTCTCAACACAGTGTATGCTTTGACTATGGGAACTTTCTCACCTCCCTGTAAAATGGAGCTCTATCTGGGACGTAAGGCTGTTGTGACAGTCAATGGAGAAAATGGTGAGGAACCACTCCAACGTGTTTTGTTAGTCTATGTGTTCTTTCTTCTGCACTCTGTTACTTCTCACACGCTTTATCCTATTTTTGGCTTCTGTGTGATTCACCCTCACCAGGTAGAGTTTTAAACTTTGTTTAGACTTAAATAATATCGATACTGGTTTGGAGAAGTGAGTGACGACAAGCTTTAGAAACAAGATGCTCCAAGCGCAATGCCATAATAAATGAAATAGATGATGATATGAATGTAGTGATACGGGATTTAAAATGTGTCTTCACTCACTAAGAAGGCCGTGCATGATGAACTTCAAACACTTCGCCTTCACAGGAAACACGCAGCCGCTGAGGGTAGGTGGGATTTCCTTTCCTTCCGAGGAATTCCTCGTCACATTCCCTGCGGAGGCTGGCTGGTTTAGAGATTCGTCTTAGTTTCTGTGGAGGTCGTCACTGCTGCTGTGCTAGCTTTGAATCGTGTCATCGTTGGCGGGGGTGAGGGTTGTTGTCATTTGCCAGCTATTCAGTGGCTTAGGATCGGTAGTCTCAGGCCAGTTCTCAGGGGACAGATGGCAGCAAGCATCTCTTTAGGCAGAGAGAACAAAGACTCTAGATCCCCTCCTCGTCTGCAGAGATGGTCCATCTAAATCGCTGTTGAAAATCACCAATGTGTGGGGCGCCTGGGTGGCGCAGTCGGTTAAGCGTCCGACTTCAGCCAGGTCACGATCTCGCGGTCCGTGAGTTCGAGCCCCGCGTCAGGCTCTGGGCTGATGGCTCGGAGCCTGGAGCCTGCTGATGGCTCGGAGCCTGGAGCCTGTTTCCGATTCTGTGTCTCCCTCTCTCTCTGCCCCTCCCCCGTTCATGCTCTGTCTCTCTCTGTCCCAAAAATAAATAAAAAACGTTGAAAAAAAAAAGTTTAAAAAAAAATAAAAAATAAATAAAAAAAAAAAAAAAGAAAATCACCAATGTGGATTGGTCCAGGGAGGCGGGCTTTATCAATTAATGAAACAACCTTACAAACGAATGTAAGCCATTCATTTATCTCCATGTGTCATTCGTGAAACACATTTTAAAAGGAGTACCTTTATTTAAATATCATAACGGAAATTTAATTATATTGCTTTGGTCACACTACCACCTCACTGAGTCCTTTCCTCTTACATCTAACCGTACATAGTGGTCTATCTGCCACCACCAGAGGTCTGGCAGCAGGTAGGCGTGTCACATCGTGAAAACCACAGAATGGTGCCTTCCAGTTGAACAGCAATGTCGACACATGGTAACTGATAGCAACCTAAAAAGGAATATCTGCTCTCATCTTGATTCCTCATATACTCACAGGCTGGCTGATTATTTGGACCCAAAAACTACAATAATAAAATCCTCTTATAATGGTTCTGTAACCATGCATTTAAGAGATTATATAGCACATCAGTCATGTATGTTCTCATTTCAAAATAAAAGAAAGGTACTTACTGCACTGAGTTCCCATAACCCCTCTTACCAACCACCCCGATCACTGAAATCCTCAAAGTATGGAGCTCTTTGGGGCGCCTGGGTGGCGCAGTCGGTTAAGCGTCCGACTTCAGCCAGGTCACGATCTCGCGGTCCGTGGGTTCGAGCCCCGCGTCAGGCTCTGGGCTGATGGCTCAGAGCCTGGAGCCTGTTTCCGATTCTGTGTCTCCCTCTCTCTCTGCCCCTCCCCCGTTCATGCTCTGTCTCTCTCCGTCCCAAAAATAAAAAAATAAACGTTGAAAAAAAAAATTAAAAAAAAAAAGTATGGAGCTCTTTGCTATCATATTCTGTTTTTGTTTCACAACTACAGGTCTATAAGGCATATGGGTACAGTTCCAAAGTACTGTGAATTCAAAGAAGTGAGGGGTTTTCTTTGTTGTGACAAAATTAATATTGCAAGCTGCTATCACAGTATGCATTCTTCTGTAAGTATGGCTATACTTACTATCCACCATTCCCCGATAGGAGTTTCTCCAGAAGGTATTTTTTTCTACTGAGGCATATACAATGCATTCAATGGCACCAGAGTTTCATTAAAGGAATTCTCTTGTTCCCTTCCTTCACATGGAAATGTCATTAACTGTATTAAGTTAACTCTCCGAATGTTAGGTTCTTAACCAACAAACAGTGCTTCTCCACAAGGGCGTACTTTGCCAAGCGTCCTTGAATCAGAACGACAGGCTGAATATGTAATAATAGATTCAGAGCCACCACCGCGGGTTGTGATCATATTTAAGGGGAACCCTTTCGTATTTATTGACGTTTTCCTTCAGTCATGGTTGTTCCCTTTCTGCCACCACCACCTTCAGCCTTTCAGGTAAATGAAAAGTTCAATTATATGTAAAGCGACCGTTAAATCAGCAGGCCCCTTGTGGGGGTCTAGGCCTCCCCTCCCTGCTCCAATCGCAAGTGTGCTCAATCCATTACCCTTCCTGAGGATCGCACATCCATCAGGTCGAGTGTGCCGGCCAGGGTGCATCTTATAGCTTTTACTGCATATGAGACGTTGCAGGCCTGTTCTCAGGAACTGCCAGGCAGACTGGGAATCACAGTCACGGTTAATAGCAGCGAATTGCCAGCTCTTGATGGGTGGGTAGTCACTCCTTTCAGTGGTTGCCCCCTGGGGGAGAAGGTAGAAAAACAGAGGGAGGGAATTAGAGTGACTTTGCACAGTCGAGCAGGTTCATGCCGCTGGATCAGTGGCAAGCATTGGCAGGGCTCCACTCTGGGGAGGCTCAAAACAACCTCACAGTCTCATTTTTACCAATTGGTGCTGCTGTGTTGCCAGTGGTGCCCAGGGATGGGGTGGGGGGCGGGGGGAGGCTGGGGAGGGAGGGGGCGCTGGGAAGGAGATGAAGGCAGAAGTCTCAGCTAAATTAAACAAAAAGTCTCCTCGATACCGGTTAACCCTCCCCAGTTAGCCCCGTGCTACTAATTGTACCAAACTGGTATTGGAAGTTCCCTGGGTGATTAAAGAGTTGGCTCACAAACTCTCTGCATAACCTTAATTTTTTCAAGGTTCTTTGAGTGGAGAATGGCTTATAATAATGATTTTGACTAATACGATTTTTGACATGCAACTTTAATGCTTAACCTTAGTACAACTCCAGAGCATTTCATGTGTACTCAGCTGTAAAGAGTGATGATTTAAAGGGATAATATAAGAAAAAGGTCGTTCTAGAATGAACCTCTAACAAATTGCATAAAGGGAGCTTATTATTCCATGAGTATGGGGATATGCTGCTCTTCTGATCATTTTTCTGCTTGGTTCAAAAAAAAAAACTGTTGAGACATGAATGGGAAAAGAAACAGGAAAAAATGAAATAGAAATCTGCAAGCAAGGAACATTCTTTTGATGGTTATGATTTCGTTGCCACTAAAGAGGCTCTACAATAATGTGGTTCTCCATCTCCTCTTTTGTTTTGGGTGAAGAATTCGCTCTAACAAGAAAATGCTGTTACTGGTTGGAGGCTTGCCTCCCGGGCCGGACCGGCTCCCCAGCAATTTGGTCCAGTACTATGATGATGACAAGAAGACGTGGAAAATACTCACAAGTGAGTGCCCTTCTTTATTCATTTACCCACCTATTTATTTCCGTGCAGAGCTGTCCTGATGGATGCGAAAACGTGGTTAATCAAATTAGACATTTTATTGATTTGTTACCCTTTGGAGGTCTGTTTATGTATCCCAGGGGATTTAGAGTAAAAGACTAAATTAACATTGCAGAGGTGGCCAATTTGGTCGTGGAATAGGCCTAAATTAAACTGGCCTAACCACTGCACGAGTTTGTGTTTCTGTGACAGAGAGGGGGTAGTAACTGAGATGTTCCAAAAGAAATTCTTCCGTTCTTTTTTCTTTTCTTTTATTTATTTATTTATTTATTTTTTGGTTTCTTGAAAAGTGAAAGGTTGGTGAATAGCACTAAATTTTCTCATATCCTGATGGTTGTTTAGTTCATTTCTATGTAACTAACATGCATTTTGCCTTTTAAGCATTTCTGCTCGTTAATCTTTAGTCTGTGGAACTGGGTCTTAGAGAAGCACTCCCTTCTGTTGCTCCACAGTTTGGGTGGACAGATACCCAGGGCCTGTCCCAGCTGCATTAAACTGTGCTTGCAGACTTCGGCCCAAGATTCTCTTCCTCCCCTCCTTACAGGGTGATTGTGTTTTACAGCAAACCTCTTGCCTTGGGCACCGAGATTTGGAACTTATTGTTATATTGGTTATGATTCCCAATCTGACTCAGTCATGGAATCAAAAATCATCGTTTCTTGAGTGCAGCAGGCTGTGTGCACCAGGCCCCTCGTGGGCACAGTGGCTGCACTGGTCAATAAAACTAAATTTTAACTGTCAAAATTGCCCAGAGCTGTATAGATAAAATAATAAATGAGTAATTTTGATCCATAAATCAAAGCCATACATTTAAAACTGACAAAAGAAAAAGTTACATTTTCTTACAGCATTGTGTCTTTGAAACAGTTATATATTTTATCAGCTTGTTTTTTTTTTTTTTTTAAATCAGTTCCTTTCCTCTTACTAAAGCCTTTTAAAAGAATAGAAACAGGACAACAGTTTGCCCATAAGAGCAGAAGAGGAGCACAGACATGTGAGGTGGTGCTTGAAATAATACATTTTGGAGCTGGCTTACCCCAGCGAAACTACCAGTAGCATTGTCCGTGAGCACAACGCGGAAGCTCCCTGGATGCCTATACACCACGGTTATAGTAAAGAAGTGAGGGGATAATAGCTGCAGTCTTAAGGAGAAGGAAGAAAGAAAAAGAAGTTAGAGATGTCTTCAAATGTTTTTTATTCTCTTTTTGACAAAAGTACTGTTAACAACGAGTGACCAACCGGTATTTTTAAAGTAAAACCAAAGAATCAATTATCTGACACTTGATCAATAGAGAAAGCCTAGGCAGCATAAGACACGGATACTAGGGGGAGGAGAGAAGAAGGAAAGACAAAGATTCTTGAAGAGCGATGACAGACGGAGATAGACAGAGGCAAAAGGATATCACACTCAAGCAGTAAGTGATATTCGTTCACAAATCCGTCTGTTTTCCCAGACACACCAGGCAAGGTCCAATTTGTTATTGGTTTGAAGCCCTTCATTAAAGGCAAAAAGATTCACTAAAGCATCATGAGTAATACCTAAGAAAAGTCTTATGTTCGTTTTAAACCTTGTTCGGAGACAGGGTGGTCATCCAATTTATTCTCCAAACTGGGACACTTTAGAGCATGAAATGGGGACCTACTGATGGGACAATAGGTATACACTGAAACATAAGGTGACCCTACTCAAATCTTTCACGTTGCCTGATTTAGCTCTTTACTTAGAAGGAACTGGTAAGAAGGCATGAACTTGAATCTGTCAGACCTGATTCAAACCCATGTCTATGATCTTGAGCGAGGCATGTAAATATCCCAATTCATGGCTTCTTCATTCTTGTCAGCACCATTTGAGTATTTTTAAAATAAAGTGTTTATAAGTCATCTGACATTGTGTGAGCTCCACAAATTGCAGGTATCATGACTAGTATTGTAACATCACTACCAATATTAGCACAAGGATTGTGTATAGTTTTGTACCCTAGAGGTATCGGTCAACTCAGGCTCTCCATGCAGAGGAGAGACAAATTGCACTGCCACAGATACAACACTTGGACCCGCTGCCCCCGAGTCAGGAGCCTGTCTTCCATGGTCTTCATATGTTGGATGTGGCAATCCACAGACTAAGAAGTAAAGATAAATGGGTATCTATCTGTTGACTCCATTCACCAGGTTTGACGTGGAAGGAAATAAAGACATTAATGTATAGACTTCTTATAATGGGAGCATACTCCAAGACCTTGAACCTTTTTTCTACAGTCAGGCACACTCCTAGCTCTGAAATAATGTCTACTCCACTTACACCCTTCATTTCACTGGAACCTGTACTTTAAAAAATAGAGTTTATTACCTGTTAGGCTGTGACCGCGTGGCCCCAAGTGAGGGCATATTTTTCAGGTTGGTTGGAGAGATATAGACAGCTTACCTGGATGATTTCTGCTGTTGGTCTGTATTTTTTAATCCAGGCATCTTATTTGACTAATAAATAAGTCAGGTGACTGAAAGATTTCCACACCATTTGGGCCATCTAACAATAGAGGAAGAAATGTTTCTCAGTGGAATAAAAAAACCAAAAATCCACATTCTCCCCAAATCCAATGAAGCATTATGGATTTCAAAGCTGCCCACTGACGTTCTTTTGACCCAGATGAACTGCTGAAGTTTCTGGCAGGGGAACCAGGACGACAATTAAGGCTAGGAGACGGTGCCTGGTTTGGGGTCTGCTTATTTATTAAATGGCTGTCTCCATACAAACAAACTAACAAGCTTAACTAGCAAACTCGAGGTTAGCCAAAGCCTCTGAATCTTAAGACTCCTTCGCCCACTTGGCTCGAGCACGCATTTCTCAGCCTGTCTCCCAAATACGCTCCTTTGAGAAAGATGCCATTCCACGGACAGGAGCATGACCACCGCTGTGGGAGCCATGGCTTACATGAATTATATAACAAAGAAGAATTAAGAGGAAAGGCAGTCATCCTCTCTCTCTTTTCTCACCCTGTTACGTTACGTTTTAGAATCACAGTTGAAGGGGTGCACAAATAATAAGTTGAATGGAGGAGGGGTGAGTAAAAGTGAGAGAGTGGATCTACAGAACATAAAGAAAACAAAATCCAACCATCAGCCAGTCAGCGGTCTGGTCTACCTGAACAGCAAAGGGAACAATTATTCTCGCTGAAAAGACTGTTTTTTGGGAACATGCTGGCACAGATTGCATTTTTATCCTCCCCTTCGGAAAAATCATTTAATACAGCATTATATAATTAACGTTGAGAATGGTGACAGACCTCCATGGTCTCTCTTAAAAAAGTATCGAGAAATAACAGGCAAAAATGACTATAAAGTCCCTTTGTCAGTGCAAAATGTTAAGCAGTAACAGTAAAATTGGCATTGTTGTCCTCTTGATTGTTAATAACGGACGGGAGGTTGAGATGCACTTTCGTTCATTTTTATTTTACAGTTCTGCTCTTCCTGCATTTCTCACTCCTGCACGCAGTCTCCCGTTTCATTCTTAACTTATTAGAAAGCAGTACAGGAGACATGAATACTAAAATGGCCAGTGCAAAAAAAAACATGCCTCCTGTACTTTGCAGGCCCCAAATCCTTGGTGCAGAGATCACACAAAATAATTCCTGTGGTTACTCTGTACTTTTGATAGCACATTGCTTACAGATCAAAGTTTTTATGAAGCCCACACGTAGAAGTGGTTTGCATCCCCCCACCCCCACCCTGAGAGATAGCACTAAGGAGCCGTCTATTTTATTTGTCTTCTTCATTGGCCAAGTCCTTCACTGGTGGGGAAAGCTGTTTCCTGGGGACTGGCTTCCTTTTTCCTACATTTCGGATGAGAGAGTCTACTTGTTAGGTGCCTTCTGTAAGCAACGAGAAGGAAAGGAGTTCAAAACACAGATCTGTCCTTCCATGTGTCAAAGACGACTCCCCTTTCATAACGTTAGAATGAAAATTAGAAGAATTAGGTTAGCAAGGTTCCTTCGTTCTTTCGGCCACTGGGTTCCCTTTGTCAGAGGTAGGAAGAAATGCGTATTCTGCCCCCTCCCTTTCGGTTGATTTGCAGCTCTGGACTCTACCTGGTAATACAAGGCTTTGGGGCCTTGTGTTTTTTAGTCACAGGAAATAAAAGAAACCCCTGTGCCCAGGTTTCCTGGGTTGTCTCCTCTGATCCCTGGAGGACACTGAACTTGATTCCATCCACACAGGGGCGGCCCTGGGCAGGGTGTCAGCGATTAATTTTAGGAACGTCACAAAGATCAGAGGCTAACTATACTTTCCATAAAGGTTGAAGGAATAGTAGCAAGAAAACAAATTTTATAAAAGACATTGAACTTCAGTCCCAAAAGATAAACACAGGGTTGATCATATCCAATATCCAATAATTGCTGATTATTCAGAAAATCGTAAACCTGTGTATTGATACTTTCATCTGGACTTCTTTCCTTAGCCCTTCTGTTTCTTGACCTCAGTTTATTTCTGTTCTTCGAGGATGTGTTGGAGGGAAAGTCAAGTTAGTCAAAAGCTAATATTCATTTCTTATGATTATTTATTTAGCAAGAAATAAAAAGTAAGTTAAATTGAGGGTTTTATACCTGTGGGTTTCCTTTATTTACATTATCTTTAGACCCAAACCCCACAAAGTATTTGATTTTATTTCATTTCATTTCATTTCTAGACAGGTAGATAGACTCTATAGATAGTGCATTTCTCATTGCAGAAGAACCTCAGAAAACAATTAGGTGCTCCCAGAAGGACTCTGAAGCTGTCTGGGAAGAATTTAGACTTGCTTACAGACTTTGTTCCTTCGTGTAACAAGCAATTATTAAATACCCACTCTGTGCTGGGTGGGAGGATAGAATATAGATAAGATAATCTCTCGAGAACCTAAGGAGGCAATTATAATAGAGTGTGCTAAGGGATAGAGAAGGAACCCTCAG